AGACGACGATAGGTGACCAGCGATACTCTTCCATTAACCGATGTTGAAGCCGCCGGTGATGAGATTAGTTTCCCTTAAGATTGACGACGGCAGCACCCGATTCCGACTTGCCACCTTGTGCTCATCCGCTCCCCACCTCTTCATACTCGTCTCTATCCTCACTAGTAATCTCTTCGCCCTATACACCTTCATCTGGGCATCGAAATCCACCACCAATGCTATTTTTCACATCGTTAAGAATATCTGTTTTTAAGTGCTCTCATTACAGAAAATAAAAATTACTTCTACCCAGCTGACCACCGCTGTACCGGTAGGCGGTTGCCGGGTTAATGCAATATTTAATAAAAGTAAAAATAATATGATTTGAGGTATAAATAAAAACCGAAAGCTCCCCTGTTTAGGACCACGAAGGGTTACGGATAGCCTGTACGATCTGCCTTTATTCCGTGCTTTTAATTTATTGGATTGTATAATAAGGACATGGGTTGGAAGTCTCCTCGAAGATGGGGAATACGGGAGAAATTATCAGGATATTGTTATTAAAATTCTGATAAACATGAAGTTTTTAAACCAATAAATTTATTTTAAAATAAATAGAAATTTTTTATAAAAAATTTTAAACTAAGTTTAATGATTTTAACTAGGAAATCTGAAACAGACTTTTTGCTGCGGAATAAGTCAACTGGGCGATTGTCAGGCAAGAAGCTTCAAGGAAGCTTCCTGCTTGGTTGCCGGGAAAAAAAAAAAAACCAGAATCTCTGCCTGCTTTCGCGGTGGGATCAGATGCCCACGTCTTTGGGACAATTTCTCTGTACTTTTCAATGGTAATGTTCTTGATTGAAGAATATAATATAATTTTCAAAATTATGAATTTAGATAAATTATTTTTCATTATTTTAAAAATTATTTAGTAATTTAAAACCTAGAGGAAATTTTCCAAAAAAAGAAAAAACCTTCATATATCATAAAAAATTTCTTGATCGAGCACGAATCTCAATGAAAATTCGCATTGAAAACTTCTATAATTAAATTCATGATCATCCAAATTCCGATTTCAACAAACTTATAGTTGAACTAAATGTATCGAAGAGATGATCCTAACGACACCAAATTCAATCCAATCCGAGTCCAAATGGGACCAAATCGAGGACTTGAAGCACGTTCGAAAGCTTCAAAGTATAAATTGGACTATCAGATAAATTCCAAATATGACATGCTTATAGTCGAATCGATCGGCTCGACGAGATCTATAAGGAATCCAACGAGCCCAAGATTGTCAAATTCTAACATCATTTAGGCATTCAAATGCTCGATAAACAGTGTATGATCAAGAGAATCATTATTGGTCATCCAATCGAACCACTCCCAAGGTTACCTTGATCTTCTCGATATTTATTGGCTACGCCACTCAGAAAATTATAAATAGACTTTTTATTTTTCATTGAGGGATGGAGGAATAAGGAGGGGAAGAAGAGAGGAGAGGAAGAGAAATCTGATATCTCTCTTGCCACAAGTTCCTTCTCAACCAATGCCCAGCTACTGATCGTTGTCGGACTTCCTCCCAACCACCGACTGTCACTGTACTTCCACCCGGCCACTAATTATCATCGGACTTAACGCCCTGCCCACCGACTGTCACCAGACTTAACGCCCTGCCACCTACTATTACCAGACTTTCGCTAGGCTATGAACATTCGCCGGACTTATGCCCAACCACCGACTATCATCGGACTTTTGCCGAACTTCCTCCCAACCATGACTGTCAGCAAACTTCCACTCAGCCACAACTGTCACTAGACTTATGCCCAGCAATCTACCTTCGTCGGACTTTCTTCGAACTTTCGCTCGACCATCAACTGTCTATGGACTTTGTTGGACTCCCACCCGTCATCGATCGTCGCTAACTATGGCCTCTCTGACCAACATCGTTGACTATGGTCCTTACGACATCCGTCACTAGAAAACGGTCTTTCTAACCATTGTCACCCTCCGACTACGGTCCTTCTGATCACTGCCGTCCGACTACGGCCTTTTCGACCTACATCAACCTCCAATCATGGTCCTTTTGACCATCATTGTCAACTATGGTCTTTCCAACCTACGTCACCTACCAACTATGGTTTTTCCGATCTTAGTCGCCCGTCAACTAAGGTCTCTTCAATGGGTCATACGCTAACTATGATCTTTAAGGCCTCTGCCGCCCGCTGACTACTGTTTTTCCAATCGCCGTCGTTCCCCGACTCCGGTTCTTCCGACCATCGTTGACAGATGACTACAGTCCTTCCGACTATCATCGCTCGACTATGGTCTTTTCGACCTCCTTCGCCCGACGACTATGGTCCTTCCGACCACCATTGCCCGACTACAGTCTTTCTGACCTCCATTGCCCGCTTATTATAGTTCTTCCAGGCTATATCATTTGCTGATTATGGTCCTGCCTACCAAACAAACATTTCAGCACTGATTCTTCCAATTCTCACCATGTAATGCATTATATATGACATATATTTACTACATCAATCCAAGGCATTCCCCCCAAGGAAGGACCTCATTTGTAATCAACTACAAACACTAGTGGATTCATTCAAACTGGATCAGACCCCGTGAAAACTCCTTTTTCAGGGGTTTTCACGTAAAAACTCTGGTGTCTTTTATGAATACTACATCCCTATTTTCTTATCTATTTGTGTGCTAGATCTTAGTATAAAGCTAAGACATTAAACTTTATATTTCTCTACCACCGCGATTATTCTAGGATGCAACAAACCTAGAAGGAGACATTCTAGTTTTATTGATTATATCAAGCTAATAAATAAAAAAAAAAGATTTTTATAAAATTATTAAATATCTTTTGCCAAATTTGGCCTAAATTGGAACAAAATTTCTGTTATGCTCAAAATTCTTTGATATAATTTCAAATTTATATAATTTAAATTATTTATATATTATGTTTATTTTAAAGTATTTTCATGTTTTTAATTTAAATCTATATCAAAATTTGGCCAAAAATATACTTAATTATTTTCATATTTTTTGTTGAATTTGGTCTAGATAATAGAAGGATTTGTTGTAGTACAACATTTGTTTGTTAAACGTCTGTGAATGGCTTTCTAGTTTGGTCTATAGTCAGGGGTGGATCTAGCTTCTTTTTTAAGGGTGGACAATTTTTTTTTTTTTGTGGGGGATGGATAAAGACTCTTAGGATTGATAAAATTAGGGCAAAAAATTTTTTTTGAGGGGTGACAAAATATCTCCTCAAAATATATATATATATATATATATATATATATTTTAGGGTGGGCATTTTCCCACCCTGACCAAGCCGTGGGTCCGCCCATGGATGTAGCGAGATCACGTGTGAGCTGTGTGAGAGCGAAGCGCGAGAGCGGTGAGTTGGCTACGGGAGTAGGTTGGTGCAGCGTGGGTTCGGAAGGAGAAAGCTGGGTTTGATCAAAAAGTGTCCCGGCGGAGAGTTCAAATCGGGGAAGGAGAGGCTAGAGCCACAATGAATGCCCTCGATTGGAAGGTCCAAGTTGCTGGTGGAAGGGTTGTAGACATTGCTCCTGCCAATAATAGACATTCCTCTTTCACTCCTACATAACCGAAGCCTTGAACAATTGTTGATTTCATGCAAACAAGTTATGTTCTCTTCTGCCTCCTTGTCATCGGAGCCATCAAAAGCAAACTCCATCAAAAGCAAACTCTATAGGCTTCTTTCCCTATACGGTGCCGACGATGGCATAGAGGAAACCACTAGGTCGTTTCTCCTTCTCGCAGTCTTCTCCATTCTCTACTAAATATTTCCTCTGCTCTTCCTCAACAGTGGAATGAAAAGCCCTTTTCGCCTTTGATATGGTTGTCGACACAACTTTCCAACTATTCTCAAGAAAAACTGAATTGCTTTCATTTGATTTTTCCAACACAACGCCATGAGCTTTATGGTAAGCAAAATCAGTAGGAAGTTGCTCTGGTGGATTACGGGTGAGTGATGGAAGCGGGCTGATGGGCTCAGGATGTGCCCGCATGAGCGAAATCGGATTGCAGGAGAAGGCGGAGGCGGAATCATGGGTGACATAATGGGTTTAGAGTGGAGGCGCGGGTTGATTGCAGACTAAATGGTCGGATGGGAGATTCTGTCATTTGAGCGGAAGTTCAAGCGGATGATAGTGGGGCGGCAGATCTCGTCATTAGAGTGGAAGTTGGAGCGGAAGATAGTCCTCGATCTCCCATCTTCTTCGGCGTCGATCTTCATTGACCGCCCATCTTCTTCGACGTCGATCTTCGTCAATCACCCATCTTATTTGTCGCCGATCTTCGTCGACCGTCCAATTTCTTTGGCTTCGATCATCGTCGACAACCCATCTTCTTCGACAGTTCATCGTTATTTGCAAGCTCCAGGCTCTGATATCAACTGATGTGGGGAGATAATCATTGGATTGTTGGAAGAATTGAACTATCAAGAAGGTAATCCAAATCCAGGGAACAAAGACAAACACAAAGCTTCAAAAGACGATAATATTCATCAATTGTCTTTCCTACCACAATACCTTGCCTATTTATAGGCTAATAAGAACGTTCTAGAAATCATAAATATCCATCTTGAATTTTTTATCAAATGTTCATATTTCTTTAAGCATATTCAAGTAAAGAGCAAATCAGCCATTTATCAAAATTACTAATGTAAAAAAAAATCCAAAAGAAAATATGAACGAGCTTTAGTAATGCTCTGCATACCATGACAAAGTTAAGAGAAGAACATATTTCAACATGCATGACAAAAGCTTTGTACTTCTTGCCAAGCCAGAGCATAAGGGTTAGGTTGGGCGGCCATCAATTGGGTAACTTCTACTCTAATAAAGCAAGGATTACACAAAATCAATATTTAAAATCACTAATTGAAAACAGACCTTGAGGGAAAAGGTATGCCTTGCTAAGTGCCGGTCTCTCATAAGGAGCTACCTGTGAAAAAGAGTACAATATATTAGTAAGTAAATTTTCAAATGAAACTGTAGAAAGTCCTAGATCATTTTGTTCTATTAAAGGTGGCCATTGTTGTGTAAAATTTCTAACTTTATCAACATCAAAACAAGGTTGTCAAAGCGCATTGCGATACAATAAAAATGATTTTTTGCTTAGAAGTGCAAACAAAGCACTCAGTTAACCAAAGCACTTGTGTCATAAGAAAAAATACCTAGCATTATAATATTTAAAAACCATCATATACAGTGGTGGAGCCAGAAATTTTATTCAGGGGGCTTAAATTAAAATATTTTTGTTTGCCATCTTATATGGAATATTAAAATACATTAAAATAGTTATCCATGAGCCTTTGGTGATTCTCATTTAGATTGTTTTTCCCACTTAAGACCACATTTTACTAACCAGAAACACCATCTTTGCAATTGGAAAGATATTTGGCAAACATCTTCAAATGAATAACACGAAAGTTAGTATATACAAATTATGATGCACTTATATCCTAGTCGAAGAGTTTGGTGACAAGAGAATTTTAGTTTCTCTCTCTTCATTCTCTTTCTTCTCTTCCTTGTTTGAGCTCCATTCCATGAGAAATGAGATATCAATTTATAAGTTTTGGGAATGGTATGACCAATAAATAGGAAGGAGATCAAGGATAAGTTGGAAGTTGTTTGAATGGACGGCCGATATTGATTCTCTTGATCATGAACTATTTATTAAGCATTTGAATATTTTAATGATATCAAAATTTGGTGATCTTGGACTTGTTGGATTTGTCTCGTTGAGCAACTTGATTCAACTATAAGCATGTTAGTTTGGAAATAGTTTAGTCATCCAATTTATGGTTTGAACTTTCCAAATGCGCTCCAGGTCTTCGATTTGGACTAGGGGTGTCAATTTTTGACACGACACGAAACACGACCCGAACCCGACCCGGAAAAATCCGGGTTCGGGTCAACCCAAACCCGAAACGGGTCGGGTTCGGGTTCATGAAATCAACCCGTTTTAAAAATCGGGTCGGGTTCGGGTTGACCCGCCAACCCGAAATTGACCCGAAAGTGACCCGAAAGTGACACGAAAACTCATTTTTGACCCGAAAACCCGAGATTGACCCGTTTTTGACCCGAAAACCCGAGATTGACCCGATTTTGACCCGAAAACCCGAGATTTGGGGGGGGGGGGGGGGTGGGGGGGCAAGGGGGGCACGTCCCCCCTTATTTTAGATCATTTTAATTGTTTTTTCAAGTTGTTGCATTTATACTTTAAGATTTATCATAAAGCTATACAAAAGTAAGATCTGATTGGACAAAATAGACCAGATTTTTATTGACGTTGACTGCATTTTTCAACCTTTGCTAATATTAACCCATTGCTGAACTGTATTTAACTGGGAAGGTGCAGAGCATACATTGCACAATCTTCATAGTGATCACAAAGTCACTTCGATGATGATGAGGTGCAAGGAGATTATGAGCACACTGTAAGGTTACGGCAATATAAGCCACATTTGCCAAGCAAGAAGTAAGAAATGAGTGCTCGCTTGCAGTTCAAGCTTGAATAGACTTACTAGCTTATGAAAAAGACATGCAATATTGGAATTAAAGAACTTACTTTTCTCTAGACTTTAGTTCCCCCCCTTCCCTCCGACCATGATCATATAAATCAAATTTACAAATGATCTATGTGATAATAAGTAAATTTACTACCAACTAGTAAGCAATAAGCCATGCATAATATTAACCCATTGCTGAACTGTATTTAGCTGGGAAGGTGTAGAGCATACATTGCACAATCTCCATAGTGATCACAAAGTCACTTCGATGATGATGAGGTGCAAGGAGATTATGAGCACACTGTATGGTTACGGCAATATAAGCCACATTTGCCAAGCAAGAAGTAAGAAATGAGTGCTCGCTTGCAGTTCAAGCTTGAATAGACTTACTAGCTTATGAAAAAGACACATGCAATATTGGAATTAAAGAACTTACTTTTCTCTAGACTTTAGTTCCCCCTCCCGAGCTTTTCAAATTAAAGGAAATAGAGTATGTCTCCTAATAAAATCTACGCAAGGAAACACTACAAACATTCTTTTATTTGCAAATGATTAAACTTTATTCTTACTTCACCGAATAGAATCACATTACTTCAAAATAAATAAGGGAGGTTTACATACATACCACCATATACTATTCTATTTACATATTTAACACCTAAAACTTTAATATTATATATATACCACTCATAGTTCATTTTCATATCAAATGTGTGTGGTAGAAATGAAATATATGAGTGGTAGGAAGTAAATATGAGTGGTATATTTGATATTAAAATAATATAGGGTGGTATGTATGTAGGTTTACATACATACCACCCTATACCCACAGTGCGGGATTTGACATGATAACATATAATGATGGGTTTTGTATATTCAGGAATAGCAAGCCTATTGACAGCCATGACGTTCGTCGCTCATTCATCAAAACATAGTATAATTAATAGTTTGCCATAATTAACTAATTTACAACACTAAAAAAAAAAGATGTTATTACACACCAGCATTTAATGAAAATTATTCAAAAAATCAAGAGCGGGCTTCTAGAATTAAGGAACAACAAAATAGAACTAATAAAATTACAGGCTCGAACAAGAAACTCATACCCCCTCTTTAGAAATGATCGCTAGCTTTCCCGAACTGAGACCAAGCTTTGCAAACTCCCTAGCAGCATATCCCTGGAAAAATTACATACAAAAATTTAGCTACACGAGACGAAGAAAACACTAGGTCAGCGATAGTCTTCCAGCGCAGTAAGTTAGCAGTAAAAGCTCAAATCAATTCGAAGAAAAAAAAATATTGCGACAGCAAGAGATTAATCTTAAGATTAAAACCTGCGATCTTATCCATCATCTAATAAAGTTAACACCAGAATTCAACCATAATCGATCGATTGAAATCAAAATCATCTCAAAAAAGGAGGTGAAAGGTAGATCCGATCTCACCGCTGCTACTCCTCCTCCGAGGATCAAATACTTGTAGTGGATCCCTGCCATTGATCGATGAAAGCAGAAGAAGTCCTCACAGCAAAAGGGAAAGAGAAGCGCGAAGAAGCTTTGATTCTGCGGTATGTAACGCGGAAGGTAAAAGCCAAGGTTAACTGATAGGCTCTTTTAATAGTGGTCAATAAAAAGCTAGTCAGCGACTCTTTAAGCTCAAGTGTGGACACGACTGATACCACGGGCCCACTTCCACGTGGCCGCTTGAAAGTCGTTCATCTCGTACGGCTGCGCGTTGGACGCAGATGCAACGCCTTTTCGCGGTAAGAGAAGCGATTCTAAAACGGACTTTTTGCATGATTCGAATCGAGACGGGAAGGTCATCCGAATACATCGCTGCAAGAACGCGAATGCAAACGCAGGTTCAAAAATTGATTCACAAATGATTTAACGTGAAAGTTTTATTTTATGATAGAAATTAATTTATTACAATTATTTTATTATTATTATTTAATTTTATCCTCTGACGTAACTTTGCACCATATCCATTTTGTTTTTCTGAATGAAGCGAATATAGTTGGTAATTGACGTCAGCCATTTGCAGTTCAAGGAAATTAAAAAATATATGGCCTAATTTAATTAATAGTATTTTGAAGTTTTTTATTAAATTCTAAATTAAATTTTTAACTATTTCAAATTAAGGTCTTGATATCTACCATTCTAAAAATAAAATAAATAAATAAATATTTTTTTTTATGTAAATTTATTTGATGAGTAAAATTTTTATATTTTTTAGACTTTATTTGTGACAACTTTTTCCCTGCTTTATTTTTCGAATTGTATAAATTTTTTTATTTGATTGCTACATTTTTGTCGCTTTAAAATATTTTTTGTTTTAGAAAAATACTTTATACAACAGCTTTACAAAACAATAATAAAATTGTTCCAATAAACTTTTAGAGTATGTTTGGGATGGTTATAGTATTTTATAAAGTTGTTGTAAAGAAAATAATTTTGCTAATATAGTTACAGAAAGTAGCTTTCCACCATATAAATTTCTAAAAGTAATGATAATGTTAGTTCTGTATGGAATATGATTGTGTTTGATCAATTGGGTTGTAATATTGCCTTGTTCCTCAATTTAGTCTGTTGAATCATTGGAGGGTTGCAGGGGGTCCTCTCCTTGCTTAGATTTGGCATTATGTACCTGAGCGGTCTAACGGGCTTAGCACTAGGCACTGTATTTTATGCTGTGAATTATCTATTATATTTATCTGCTCTTTATTTCTATATTTATTGCACGTTGGAAAAGCTTCTGATTGATATGAAGGTCATAGTTAAGGATTTCTAAGACAAGCAAATCAAAATAAAGAAAAAATTATGAGCTCAAATGCCAAATCTTCAACAGTGCAGTTTCTATTATCCTTCAAATAATCGAAGAGATGTCACACAAAAGAGATTAGTCTGTTGGAGAAATTATTTTGTGCAGAGTCTAGATGGGAAGTTTTCGTCCGGACTGTATGTGCACACAATAGTTGTACACATTGTGTTAAAAAAAAAAAGAACCAAACTGTGTACAAAATTGTACACAATGTACATGTTGTGTACACTCACAGTTCGGACAAGATTTTCCTGTCCAGACTCCGCACAGAATAATTTCTCCAACTGTTGGGTACAATAAGAAGCCAACTGAGATGGATCAACGCACGAAGGAATTTATGTTTTTTGTTTTTGTTTTTGTTTTTTTTTTCTTTGTTTTTCCGGTGGAGATGATTAGCAAGCTTTCACCTATGATCATCAGGTGACCGATAAGAAAGAGAGTCATATGCAACTCATCTTGCTCTATTAGTTGAGAGCTCATCTTGATCTGTTAGTTAGCCAACAACATTCTGTCAGGATAATAATCATCCAAAGATTTATGAAACGAGCATGAACAAGTAGAGTACTATCCCAGGCGAAGGAAGACAATCCCGGAGACAACAATCAATAAAAGAAACATTGAGAAAATGTTCCTTAACAATTTTTCATGAATGATCGAAATTAGACACGATTTATTTTTGTTCTAATTGATCAATATTTTTGATGGCACAAGTCTAATAATTAATGACAACCAAAGCATGATGCTTGAGAGAACTCTCAACTAAGGATTTTTAGCTCGAATTCATATAGTTCAACAATGGAGATTAGGTTTGCTAATTATAAAAATTAGATATTATGAGTTCCTAAGGCTGCTTGGATGTATAGGGTTAGAAAAATAATGGGAGGGTATGGGGGTGTTAGACAAATGAGTGCATTGTTTCACAAGAAATGTTCAATGAACCCTCAAGTCATAATGAGAAGGTACATCTCCCTAAAGGAGCCTAAAAAAATGGAGACAAAAGTAAGACTAATACGAGTAAAATTAATGAAAATTGATTCTTGCAAATACAAAATAAGCTAGAAACCTACAATAATAAAAATGATAAAAGACTGGTGAGATTTCCAACCTAGAATATCGAACAAATTTGGATCATTAGAGAGAATCCCATCAGATCACAATACAAGGGAAATCGATGAAAATTTAGTCTTACAACCACGAGAATAAAAATGATAAAAGGTTGATGAGATTTTTTATCTAGAATATCAAACAAATTTGGGTCATGAGAGAAGCCCTTATAATCATAACTCACCGACTTGTACAAGGATTTTTTGTGAATCAAGCCCTTATCATCAAAAAGACCTAACACAACTTGATTCGTGCAAAGAAAATGCACAAAAAAAAAAAAGTTTTTATTCAAGTCATTAAGGATATGCATACAAGAGTTGTTACTTGTGTTCAAACATAAGGTGGTTTGATCAAATATTTTCTTATTTCAGTTGGATTATATCAAGGATCAACTTTAAGCCCATATCTTTTTGCTTTAGTCATAAATGTGAATGCTAAACATTTGCAAGATGCTGTACCTTGGAGTTTGCTTTTTACTGATGATATTTTTTTTTATTGATAAGATTATAGTGGTAGTTGAAGAAAAAATTTGAATTTTGAAGATTAGTCATAAAGTCTAAAGGTTTTCATTTGAGTAGATCTAAAACCGAATAATGTAGTGTAATTTTAGTAGTAATAGATCTAGTGGTGCGAATGTGATGCTAGGCGATCAAGTCATAGAAAGAGTACACGTTTTCGATATCTTGGGTATATTGTTCAAAGCGTTAGTGATGGTTGAATTAGAGAATTGCATCAGGCTTGTTGTGTGATCAAAAAGTACCCCTCAAACTTAAAGAGAAATTTATATAAGATGGTGGTGAAACTTGCAATGCTTTATGGTGCAAAATGTTGGCCATTAAAAAGAAACAAAAAAAAAAAAAAATTGTGGAGATGAGGATGCCAAGGTGGATGAGTGTAATTTACACTTAGAGATAGAATAGGAAATGAATAGTTACGTGAAAATGTTAGAGTAGCTCAAGTGGCAGATAAGATTAGAAAGAATCAGTTGCCTTAAATGATTTGGTCACATAAAACATCAAACTTTAGATGACCCAATTAAGAGATGAATTTGATCTATGCTAAGAAAGGTAGAGATAGACCTAAAAAGACTTGGTTAGAAAGTATTAAAACTGATCTATTTTTATTAGATTTAAATGAAAATTTGATTTTTATTAAAACACAATGGAGAAAGGATTTATATAGTCTGACTCACATGGTGACATAAAGGCTTGATGTTGTTGTGATACCATTCAATCCTAACGAGGCAGGAACCCTGACATAACGACCTTAACCCTATAGCACAAGAGAAATAAACCTGAAAATAATGTCGCAAAGAGATTGAATAACTAATCATATGGCATCGCATATATGATTTACAGCTCTATAACAAAAAGAAATCATACTACCCAGAACTTGAGAAATTTTCTAGACAACTGTGGAGCCATGCCCTCCTTCTACAGGTTGCATAAATGACCTACTTATTTCAACTTTGTACCGTATCCAATGAGATAAATAAGGATCATTGAAAATTAATTAAGAAATGAAAGAAACGCGAAATACAAAAAACTTTGGCAAGGTATAGTCAAGGTTTACCATTACCACCATCACTTAGTCCAGGCGATAAGCATGACCCGGATCTTCTCGAACCTCGTGAGGTTGGTGATGAACTGGACGAGAGGCTTCTTGAAGTTGTTGGAGTTGGAGCTCTTGGTGAAAGGTTTGTGAATTCTAGAGCCTGCGTTCTCAACTCCGCCGGATAATCTGCAACGCAACCAATCCTAGGGCCTGCACCAGTACACCATTTCAAGCCCACTTGATGCCCAAGCTGATAAGAACTCGATTCCATCTTCGATTTGATTCTCTCTTCAATAGCCTTCTCAGAAACATCCGCCATTGGATTCTGAAGCCCACCGGATAGAGTCCTTCTGTAAACTTTGGCTTTGTTACCTTTGCCATCAACAATTTCAGAATCAATGGGGTCTTCTGAGGGTTCCTCGGTGAATGTTCTTGCAGGGATTTGAAGAGGTGTAGGTTTAGAGATGCGTGAGGTCTCACCCAGTTTCTTAGCTTGGGTTTCAGTGTTTTTGGTGTCATCATAATCGTCGCTGGACGATGAGCGTATCTGAGAAGACGATCAAAAGCAATAAAATTGAAGCGACATGGTGGAAGGTCAGAATTTATATGAGGAAAAAAAGGAGGCATGGCTGTAATAATGTAATACCTCAACTGCGGTTAGATCAATTCCATTTTCTTTGAGGTAGTTCAATAATTGGTCAAGGTTCTCATCAGATGGTCTGTAATGCCCACTGTATGCCCAAATAGCCTTTAAGGGTTCAATCGGGATAGATCAGCGGAAATAGATTGATGAAGGCAGGTTGCAAATGAAAATTTCACTTGCAAGCCTCATATCATAATCGCTTTCAAGAAAATAATTAAATAACAGTAAAATATTCGCAGCATAATGTCTATTCATCATCCAATCATTAATTTTACATTAGTAAATGCGGTTACTATTAACTTTAACATAGATTTATTGTTCAATTTTAATGCTCAAATCTTAATATTTATGCTCATAGCACCCAAATTCATTTACTCTATAATGCAGAGTTGAAGAAGAAAAATTAAGGAGAATATAGAGTCCAACTATATGGAAAGGAAAAAGTAGAGATATCTTTGATTTCAATTCATTCAATGATAAATCCAAATACAAACCATAAACCTATTTATAGAAATATGGTACAAGATAATAACAAATTATTAAAAAATAAAAATAAAAAAATAAAAAAATAATAATGATAACAAATTGTTTTAAAATCAAATCTAACTATGACCAAAGCTAAATTTAATCCTAACAATAATTCAAATTTAAACCTAAGGTTACCCAAATGATAATAACAATAACATCAAGTATTTATACCACAACATGGATTCAACTAAATGAATTATTTTTCTCGATTATGTCTTATTAAACTAATTTCAATAAAATAGCCGTAGTTTTATGAACTTGTTTAATTCAATCAAAACTTTATTCTATCCTTATTTCTTGATTTTAATTCATGTGCAGCATCATTCAAACTCAAAATTGCTACCCCGATTAGATTCTTCTTTCAAAAGAAATACCACTTCAATTATGTTTCATTTATGATATCAATTTTATCCCACTTAACTACTTAATGTTAATCAATCCCTTTCTTTTCCACTTGTACACTCTTCAAAAGTCATCAAACTACAGTTAGGCCGCCACCATACCAGCAATGACAACCATCAAATTATCAAACTAAATATATAGCTAGCTCCCACCATGTCATTTCCAAGTTAGTGACAGTTGTGGAGAGTGGCCCAAGCTTTAATATATTATTTAATTACTTTTTATTATAAATAAGGGTGATTTAAAACTTTCCATGTCCATCATTTAGAGTAACCATCGCTAGTGCATAGTGGGGTTTAAATACTTGCATGTAGCAGAAAAGAGAAGATCAGAAAAGTGGAAAATAATTCCATCAAAATAGCAATAAGATTAGGGATCAAAACCATGACCACTAGGATAGCAAACAAGTATAAGCACAGCTTGGGGCCGGGTATATATATATCTAATGTTTTAAACAATATTTTAATTTCCATCATTTGGTTAGAGTTAGAATACTGTATTTTAAACTCGAAAAACAACTCAACATATTTCAAAACTAATAATTTTATTTTCACAGATAAAATGAGAATAAAATGAAATTATTATTTTCTAAAATATATTTTCAATCAACAAGAAACCAAATGAAATTAAGAGCAGATGAAGTTCAAACTACATGGCATACAATAACATTTAAGATGAGAATTTGTGACTGTATGACCAAAATATTTGATATGCATGAACTGCAGGATCAGTTTTATGATGAAGAGCAATGTGTAGGGAAGCTCACGAAGTTAAGGAACCATTAGACAAATACATATTTAAAAGTACAGGCTATACCTTGAGAACTCCATTCTCTGCAACGAATCTTCCAGCTGCTAGAGTGCTGCCTCCAGCGAGGAAGCTGGAATGGTGAAACATTCCCTTCTTTTTCTGAGTATAATATGCAAAATAATAGCAAGCTCAAATTTTAGGTAACAAATATTGGACATGCGTAAAAATCATTATTATCATTATCCCAATTACTTGAGGGCCTGAGGCCAGCCTTGTGAATACTCATTTTCCATATGTTTTAGTAGAGCATTGCTTAAGCAATTGAATTTATTCTTTGCAAATAATTTTAAATAACTTATATCCATATTATCTAATCTACAACTACTCCTTCCTAATCTAATAGTATCTACTGGTTTAATAGATGCATTTTCTATCCTACATTGTATATAATTAAATCATCAAAATTTATTTTCAATTATCTTATCTACAGTAAATAACACTCTGACCGTTTTTATAATATATCCATTCCTTCATTTATTTTTTTTAGTTTTAACATGCATAAATCATAACATACTCATTTTTGTCATGATAGAAGACATTAATGATTTTTTACTATCCAACACTCTAATCCATATAGTTTCGCTATCCTAATAGTAGCTTCATAAAATCTTCGTGATATCCTTTTATTATATAATACTAATACCATTTTAATCATTGAGTGATAAATCTAGAAGTTATAGCATCATTCATTTCTCCATTCATTTACAAATTTTAAAATACATAAACATCACACATTTTTTTTTATAAACATCACACATAGATTCATTTTATCTTTTAATAATAATAATAGATAATTATTAATATCACACCAATTAAAAATATATGCCATGTACTTTGTTCTAGTAACACTTTGTCATATATCTTCTAAATATTTCTCCTTTGTTCTAATTTTTTAATAATTTTAGTAGAATTCTCACTAATTACAATGGTATCATCTATAAAATTCATTCAAAAATAAAGCTCACTTTGAATATCTTTAGTGAGTATCTCCACGACCAATAAAAATAAATATATAATTTATATTGATCTTTGATAAAAACTTATTATATGAAGTTGAACCATAAGAAAATATATACATATTATAAAAGTATCTTGCATCTAACAATACCATGCCAGCATACAATTTCCTTGATGTGCACATGACGAAAATCCATTTTGCTCCTTCAGGTCCCTTCGTTGTATCAAGAGGTTCACCGGTTCTCTGGTGTACAATTTTTCCATCAACTGGTATATATTGATATTGTAGACGCTCTAGCTGAAAGAAAATAAGCTCATGTGTTAAAATGCAGCATAAAACAACAAAGAGGTGAAATCCAAAAAACTAAAATGAAATGAAAATGACTTGGAGCTCCGACAGAGTTTTTATTCACGCCAAAACTCACTATTTAACGCTACTTTTACTCTTTTAGAAACTTAAAATTTTGGAGAAGCAGCCTTAGTCCTCGAAATACTTAAATGAAGTCTCTATGTAATTTTAATGAGAAAGATAAGTCGTAAACAGTGTGACAACCTGATAAGCCAAGGGGGGCCACTTGGTCGGCCCAGAATAGCCCATCCGACTGGCCCAACCTTGGTTGAACCAGCTTTTTGGCTGGGCATAACCAAGGGGCATAAAAGGGGGAGATTTCAGCCCCCTTTGTGAGGTCCAAAGGAGCTATTATTCATTATGTAAGGAGGTTGAATCAAGGAGGAGCAATTTAAGAAGGTTTCCTAATTATGTTTATGTTGTTTATAAATGTCATAATTGTGTTTATTGTGTGTGAGGGCTATTTAAGGGAGAGTTTTGTCTAGAGTTCATCATATATGTTCTGAGTTTATTTTTTAGGGTTTAGTGTGAGTTTCCTAATGGTTGCTAGAGCTTGTGGGAGAGCCGATCTACCTCTCGAATAGTAGATCAATTGTATCCTTCGTTGTTGTTGAAGTAATAAACAATTAGCCCACATAATTTTATTCATGCATTTTTCTTCTATTTATTTTGCTGCTTTTACTTCCAAGACTATTAACCTCTATATTAGAACAAAATGACAGGGAATAAAAAAATGCCTAAATCATTACCTGAGGTGGAGCTCTGCCGCAAATCCTGTAGAAGCAGTCGCCCATATCTCTGTGATGACTACGAACACCACCATCCTACCCAGGGAGATTGACGCATCAAATTGGTAAGGTTTTGGAGAGATGACAGCAAAAAAAGTGGATGCGTTGGAAGGCGATGTGGAGCAAATCAAATCCAGGATGGAGGAGAAGTTCTCAACCATCGAAGGAAGGTTTTCAACCATGGAGAATCAAATGGAGAGTTGATTTGGAGGGTTGGATAAGATGATAAGGAAGCTCATGGAGATGCAATCCAAACTGCACTGGCGGTTCCGATTGCTAACCCTAACCAAGATTTGATCAAAATTTCTTTGGCGTAATCTAAGGAAAACGAGATCGGACGATAGGAGTTTGACGAGAAGAGTTTATTTCATCAAGAGCCACCTCCTAGGGATCCGAAGAGGGGTAAATCAAGGTTTCTGGATGGGGTGACAGCACTGAGGGAATTTTATGATGGAGGTGGTATGGTGGCCAATACTATGGGAGGCTTTTCGGGCAAGGGGAATGGGAAACCAAAGATGGAGGGGGTTGAGCCGAGCCAAGGGAATCAGGTCCTTCAAGGAGGATGGAAGAGAGGTGGGATTCCCACCCTCGATGCATAGTGGGAATCATTGGAGGGAGAGAAAGTTGGAGTAGAGATGCTAGGATGAGAAAGTTGAAGATGTCAGTATTTGAAGAAGAAAAATGCCCATGGGTGGGTGTATAAGGTGGAGAGGTATTTCGTGGTGAATGGGTTGACCGAAGAGGAGAAAGCTTATAGCCGCAGGGCTATGTCTGTAGGGAAAAGCCCTAGCTTGATTCCAATGGAGGTTTTGACCTCTGCTCTTGATAAAAAAATGTAAAAGCATATAATATAAAAGAAAAAACTGCTCATTACCTACTACTGCAAATCCTATATCTTTGCTAGAAATTCGTCTTCGCTACTACAGCATTCCATAAATCTGCGAGCAACGCTGAAGTTGTCTTCTCACACGTGCTTGGATACAGACTCTATCACATACTCCCGCTCTTGCTATTAAAGTAGCGGTAAGTGATGAAGCTCGGTTATGCTTTTCCCACACGACCCTCACCACATCTCTTGTAGTCACAAAAACAGAGCCCTTCCTCCCGCCGTCCCTGCCTTGTTCGCAAGTCGTCGGCCTATGATTTTGCCAAGCACTGATCCAAAATCGGCCTGGACGATCCAGTCCAGAAATCAATCCAGAGAACACTCCAGAAATCAGCCGTTTTCAATGCACTGATCGGCCTGGACGATCTCAATATCGTCCCGGCCGATCCTGGGAGGAAAATCCAATTCAGAGAGGAACAGTAAGGGAACGAGATCTCACAGGGGGTGTGGGGGTACCTGGCCGACCCAAACCATCCCAGCCAGACCAACCCAAGCCAGCCTAGTCAACCGCCCAACCCTAGTCGAACCAACCCTTTGGCTGGGTGAAATCACGGGCAGCAGAGGGCCGGGGTAGATTTTGGCCCCCTTGTGGGGCCAATGGGAGCTATTATTCATTATGTAAGGAGGAATCAAGGTGGAGCTATTTAGAAAGGTTTCCTATTTATGCTGTTTAGGAAGGTTTGATAATTGTATTAATGCTGCTTAGGAAGGTTTTAATAGTTTAGAAAGTTTTCTAGTTGTGTTTATGCTATTTAGAAAGGTTCTAATTGTGTTTAAAGGAGAGATTTTGTTTAGGGATATCATTAGATATGTGCTGAATTTATTTTCTAGGGTTTGACGTGAGTTTCCTAGCAGCAGCTAGGGCTTGTGGGAGAGTCAGTCTACCTCTTGAATAGCAGATCAATTGTATCTTTCGTTATTGTTGAAAAAATATTAAAAAATCAGCCCTCATATTTGTATTCTTGTATTTTTCTTCTATCTATTTTGCTACTTTTACTTCCAAGACTCATCATAACCTCATCATACTCTTATGGTTGTATGCTTCTAAGGATACTCCTAAACAAATCTTTAAATGAATTAAATTAAAATTTTTATGTGAGAAACGATGTGCTCAATGCACCAAAAGCTAAAACAATATGCCCGTTCTAAGCTGTTTCTTATACTTATCACCCCTGTAGTGCCCAATCACATCAAATTAGAGGTCTTCACTAAAATTGACATTATTGTTTGCTATATATTTTTCTATGAAAATCATACATGAAAGTTGCATTATTCTTGCAGTAGACACTAAAAACATACAGCACGATAAATTTAGGATAGCATTACTTGGCTCTGTTAAAAATTATGAACTTATATAGGTGTTGTTATAATTAGAATTTGAGTTGGAGAACATACAGGGCCCATGTATTTGATGCATTGCTGTCGTAGCAAAGACCTTGGGCATTCCTTGAGTTCTACATTTTTTCCTTCTCCAAGATCTAACCTACAAAAAATAAACAAATTCTCTGTGAGGTACTGAACATATAGCAGATGATGCTGTGATAAGCTTTATACTTCAAACCGCAAGAAAGAAATGCGAGCTGTATGTTCAAATTTTATCCTCTCCCTACCCTTCCTACAACGCTGTTTTTAACTACCACAGTAATGTGCTTCACAACTCTCTTGACATCGGATTTTTTTAGGTGTTGGAGTTCAAATCTCTTAACTTCTTCAAAGCCATTTTAATTTTGATGGTTCAATTTGTACAGCTCGAAGTGTGATGAATAATTGAGATGGTTGAGAGCACTAGTGCAATTGTAGGGGAAATCAAAAGGGGCTATCAAAATGGATCTGTAGAAAAACCTCAGATGGGGAAGGAGTGTTGAAAAAATTGGCACATTACCTAAATCATCTATTAGATACAAAAGTTGGAAGTTGGCACATTAGAAACATCTTGCCCTTTCTGTTAACTTGATATTTTTGACTTTTTCCATTGAATATCATGTATCAGAAAAATAAATCAAGAATATACGGCACTCGGAAAATTTAATGAAGACAAAAAAAGTTTATCATTCTCATTAAAAAAAGATAGCGTATTTTTAAATTGATACGTCATAAAAAATCACCTTGATCCAGCACTAATTTAGAGGCATATTGGAACTCGAAACTTTCAAAATTAAATTTGGGACCATCAAAACTCCGATATCAATAACCTTATAATCAAACTGAATGTCTTGACAAGACGAACCCAATGACACCAAAATTGGCCTAATATGATTCCAATTGGGCTCGAACTAAGGGACAGGAGCATATTTGGAAGCTTCACAGCATTAATTGGATAATAAAATAATCTCCAAATATGACATGCTTATAATCAAATCGAGCGGCTTGACGAGATGAATCCAACAAGCCCAAGATCACTTAATTCTGACAACATGAAGGCATTTAAATGCTTGACAAAAGTCTTATGATTGCAAGAATCAATACGAACCATTTGATGAAGCAATCTGACTTTGCCCTTGAATTTCTCTATATTTATGGAGCATGCCACTAAAAAAAAATCTTATAAATAGGCTTTTATTCTTCACATGATGGAGGAAGAAGGAAGATAGAGAGCACTAAAAAAAACTCTCTTGCATTTTCCAGCTATCACCATCGACGACCACGAACTATTGCTGCTGACAACAACTATCATCATTGAGGATCAACATCAGACATCTCTACCATCTCTAGAGATAAACAAGATTTAACCCTATTTTTTAGTATAAAAATTTATCGGTGGATATATGTAATCTCTATTGGGAAAATAAAACCCTACTGTTAGATATAAAAGTCCGTTGGTGGACATCTATAATCCCTATTGAGGAAATCAGACCTTGTTTTTCAATATTAACTATCATACTTGATTTTTTTTACTCTCCTTTTCTCCAATAGTGCTAGTGGATTTTGCAACTGGCTAAGCCTTGTGATTTTTTCTCTTTCTCAGTTTTCCACGTAAAAAATTCTCTAGACCTACCATTTTTATATGTTCATATTGAATCTTTGTATAATGCTAAGACATAAAATATACACTCTACTAACTCAAATTTTCTAGAATGCGACATCTTTGAAACTTTTGCCGATATTCTGAGATATAATGCCTCTTTGACATCCAACATTAAAAAAAAAAAGAGATCAAGAATACATCGTAGCTAGTACACATTTGTACTTTGGGAGGTTTATTCTAGCATGCATTACACTTTATATATAAGATTTCATCCAAGCTTAATTCAAAATTCAAATATGAAGGGATTTAAAAGCTTTCCTAAAATAGAATTTATATTTTAGGAAATAGTTTCAAATTCAAATAAATTTGAAAATTGTAATTATTTGAGTTCCCTAAAATATGAAGAGTTAATTTAGGAAAGGTGTGATAGCAATTAGTGAGGGAGGGGAAAGGCAAAGGGGAGTGGCCGGCGGGTAGAATGGGTTCGGGTGAGGGTGGATGTAAGGTGGCCGGCGGTTCAAGAAGATGGGATTAATGCCTAGGCTGGCGGCTAGTTGGCGTGGGATTAGGTGGCCGGTGGTGATGAGGGGTTTAGAAGGTCGAGATAAGATGATGAACGGAAAGAAAGAAAAAGGATAGAGTAATGAACCACGAACCGGACCGTCTCCAAAGTTGGTGGGTGATCCAAATTCCCTCTCCTAGGGATCTCGCTCTCTCTCCAAGCACTCAAGATCTCCCAAGAATTCAAGCAATAGCATAAATTTTTTTATCATTCAATCATTGATTTTCAAAGGGAAACATAGGGGCTATAAATAGCCTCGTACATAAGACTCAAAATAAGAAAGACGACAATGCCCTTAGGGCTTACATATGACTTCCCTTAAGCAAGAGATAACACAGAAAAAATAAAATATAACATAAATAACAAATAACATAATAAAACAAATACATGAAATAACTCAAAATACATCGAAGTGATCGTGGCCGTAGATCGACGGCCACGCCTCTGATATACGATTCATGCTCTGATGTCCCCATCAGATATTCTGGGATATAATGCCTCTTTGACACTCAACATTTAAAAAAAAAAAAAGAGATCAAGAATACAAAGTAGCTAGTACACATTTCTACTTTGGAAGGTTTATTCTAGCATGCATTGCACTTTATATATATAAGAGGTCCTGAAATTACAATTGACAACATCAGATTTTTTCCAGAAGCCACTTTGGTTGTGGTTAAATTCCAACCAGACATCCAAAAGTAAAATGCATGGCTATGTTGACCATGGCAATTGGAGAGGGTAGGTATCCTATATTATCATCACACAAAGAAAGTTGACAACGTAACAACTCACCAGTAAAAGAAGGGCTGGCCAGCATCACTTTCACACCATTTCTCATAGTAAATATGAAGATTATGCCCATAGCGGTGTCTTGGGTCAACCTATAAAGAAGACAAAAAACAGACTGAACCCATTAGCTTTAAAAATGAGGTAGCTATTGGACTATTGCAAGTACTTCTACTTGGCGCAAACTGAGCATTTATGTCCTCCTCATTAGTACTGCCCACCTTTTAACCCATGAATAGGTATGTCGAAAACCAGCACCAAACAAAGTTATAAAGAGCTCGGTCAAGAAATATATTATGGTACAAGTAATTGAGAAAAATAACAAAAATAGAAAAAAAGGAGAAGAAAATACATTAAAGAAATTTAAAGTAAAAGATATAGAAAAATAAATCTGAAACTAAATCATACTGCGGTCATATAAAAGATTTCTTATAAGTCTGAAGACTATTTAAAAAAAAAAAATTATAGCTGTACACTGCCCAACACAGCTAAAAAAAATTGGTTAGTTGACATGAGTAGATTGAGAAAGAACGTCAAGATTTTTGTAGCGTGGGTTGGGCAGCACAGAGTTATGTAAAATCATACAAAGGCATTGTTTCTACTGACCAACTATCAGGTGCCAAAGTCAAAAGATAAAATAGTTATGGAAAATAAAAGTTGGATACCAAAATAATGTTGGTGCGAAGTTAAAAAAAGTAGAGCAAGTAAAACCTACAGCTTCAATCCAGTGCTGAAAGGCCAATTTTTTAGCCTTGCTGTCTTTCGACAGTCCTTGACCAACCTACAGTATTATAATATTTCCCTTACAAATGAATAAAGAAAAATACATTTGAATCGTAAAGATGGAACCGAAATTAGAAAAAGTAAAAGGGAAAAAAAAATGCGAAACCAAACCTTTGAAGCATTAACGCTGACACGATTCCACCGCTCGATCGCCGTTTCTGGTTTCTTATAGTTGAAGAACGAAATCGTGGTGCGATTGAGACGCGCGAAATCTAGCGCTCGCCACCTAAATAACAACCATATAACATAAACTTGTAAGTTGTAACATACAGTGAAAAGATCAAGAGAGAAGCCTACCAGAGCTCTTCGGCAACGACAGCGGAGTCCGCGAGTTTGCGCCTGGTACGATAGCTCCTAAATGCCTTCTGAATCTTCGTTGCCGCATTAGATTCCAATCCCTCTCCGATATGTATGCTACCGGTAGCCATCTCAACTTCATTATCCTCCGGCTGATCAACATAAACCTCTATCAGCTCCGCAATGGACTTGGAAGGCCCGACCACGCTATCTTCTCGGTTCTCAAATGACTCGGAAGCAGCCATTTGCGTATTCGGTGGCGAGGGATCATCTTCGACAACAAAATGCCCAAGTTCCTCCGCATGCTCAAGTACCGAGAAAGAGTGAGCGTCTTCCGACATCTCTAAAATGCCTTGTTCTTCCCCCAATGCCGCCGATTCGAGATACTCCAGCAGAGATTAATTGGCCGTCGGCGAGCGGGGAATCGAAATCGAAACCGAATTTCCAGACGAATGCCGGAGAAGTAAGATCGAGGTTGTAGTGTGCAACAGTCTCCACCTCCATCGGCGTCAATGATGGGAAGAGACGGTGGAATGGGTAGAAGCGAGAGAGCAGGGAGTGGAGAGGAAAGCGAGACGGTTGTGAGTCGAGAGGAAGCGTGGAAGAAGCGGGTGATTATAGTTTTTACTTTTTATTTTCCAATTTTCCCAAAAAAAAAAAAAATTCCAATAAATAAAGTTAATAAATCACGTGACGACAAATATTTAAAAGTGGCAGGCAAGATACTTACAAAATATTCAAGAAAATATACAATAAATATTAAGCAAATATATAATAAATCCAAACAATTCTCCCCATGCAGACTCCACAGGTAATAATTTAATCTTTTTTAGAACTCCTACATTACATCAAAAGGTGTGCGACAAAAGAATTTTCAAGCAAAGAGAAACATATAACGAATTGCGAAGATACACAGTTCTCTTTGGCGAATTTTTATTACATTCGGTGTCCTGATGTAGCTCTACGTTCGGACGCCAGTAAAATAGTGCCACATGCTCCTTTTCTTTACCAAGCAATATCCCGTTATTGTCAAGCAATACCTAGCAATACACAAACATAGCAATACCGGGTTCCGATCCGGGTCAGGTCGTCGAGCCGCACGGTAAAGAGTAGGAGCACATGGCGACATGTTATTGGCGTCCTAATATAGATCTACGTCAGGACACCGGACATAATAAAAATTCCTCTTTGGCCTATTGGTTGAGAGCTTAGGCTTCCAACTAAGGGTTCGTTTGGGACGGCTTTTTTATTGCTTTCTAAAACGAAGTTTTAGTACAATTTTTTTTTTTTTTTTGTATTAAAACTCTATTTTAGAAAGCAATAAAAAAGCCGTCCCAAACGAAGCCTAAGAGGTCTAGGGTTTGAGTTTATGTATATGCGTTGTGTGTGTGAATTTGCCTTAAATGGCCTAAATGTCGCAAAACAAAAAAATTGCTAAGATATTCTGGACTGTTTGTAAAAGCATTTTTTTCTTTTGTTTTATATACATATTACCGATGTTCTAAGGATCACTGTGGAACCATTGTAATATTTTATAAAATTAATTATAAAATTATTATGAGAAAAAGAAATTAGTTATTATAGTTACATAAAGCAGTTTTTGAACATAATTTAAAAAAAAAAGTAACAAAAAATAATAAAAAGACAAGGCTCAAACAAAAATAAAATAGATAGAAAATTATCCTAAACAATTACCAAATCTAATCATTATCAAATAATTGTTGAATTAGTTCAATTTAATTATTTTATAAGATCATTTTTTTTATTTATATTATTGAACTCAAATATGACCTGCATATCATCAAAACAAAGGCTTCGTTTGGACAACTTTGTTGTTAATTTCTATAACAATTTTTTAGTGTAAATATTTATTGAATTAATTTTTTTTTAAATTTTTATACTAAAAAATTATTTTAAAAAATAATAAAAACGCTGTCCCAAACAAAATCAAAATCCTATCTCAATGCTTACTTGAAGCTAAACCATTGTGGACAAAGTTGTCGTTGTCCGCTCCCCCACTGATGCAAAGACACTATATTATGTCTGCTTAATAGTTTACCATCAAACAATGGAAGTTTCAAGACTTTTATCTGCACTTACCCTAATCCCCTTGCATCAGATGATTTTTACTCCTATTGTGTAAAGAGGGACTAATTATTATGTGAGGATATACGACAGAAAGAATCGTTCGGATTTGCTGCGTCTTTGCAAAAGGACATTAAAAGGACAATAAATATTTAATATTTACTAAATAATTAAATATTTGTTGTGCTTTTATTGAATATTTGCAAAAACAAAGCAAAAAATGAACAATAAAAACACATTTATAATTGAATATTTGATATTCTTGTATTGTCTTTTTCGAAAGCACAACAAAAGGACAATAAAAGCACAGCAAATCCAAATGATTCTTCCTGCATGTATCTGCACAAAATAATTTCTCGTAACGAGGAGATCAATCTAGCGAATGAAGCTAATAAAGAGCTGCAACGCTCATCCAATCCAGATCCTATGACAGTTTGTATTTTATCGTACGGCCGGTGCATAGGATTTTCATATACAAATACTGGACTAAAGAGAAACAGAGATGAAAGTATTCTTTATCATCTGTCTAATCTATTACAGGAGATCTATATATATATAGGCATATAGCTTTACAAAGCCAGTACAAGAATACAGAACAAGAAGTCTAGAAGACAGGTAAGCAGGCAAGACCTATGTACAAGCATATATAAGGTATATGTTATTACGCCCCCTCAAACTGATGGATGGAATTGGACAGTCAGCTTGTCACGAAGATAGTGATAGCGCGGAGTAGAGAGCGATTTGGTGAAGATATCAGCAATTTGATCTTTTGTGGAGATTGGAAAGATTTGAACGGTTTGAGATTGAATGTGATCCTTGATAAAGTGATGATCTATTTTGATATGCTTGGTACGGGCGTGAAAGACTGGATTGTTGGCTAAGGCGATAGCTGAAGTGCTGTCGCAGTGTAACGGCGTAGGAGAGAGACTAGGAATGCGGAAGTCCTGTAGGAGACGCCGGAGCCATAGGATATCAGCAAGAGCAGTAGCAAGCGATCTATACTCGACTTCGGTCGATGATCGAGCCACTGTGTGTTGCTTCTTTACGCTCCATGAGATAAGTGTGTTGCTGAGGAATGTACAATAACCGGAAGTGGAACGACGAGTGTCTTTGTCACCGGCCCAGTCAGCGTCTGAGTACGAGTGTAGGTTTAATGATCCCTGCATAATAGGTAAGCCAAGTGAGAGGGTGCCTTTTATATATCGAAGCAAGCGATGAAGTAAATGAAAATGATGAGAAGCCGTATTGTGCATATGTTGGCACAATTGGTTAACCGAAAAGGATATATTCGGTCAGGTAATCGTAAGATACTGCAAGGAACTGGTGAGTTGTCTGTAGAGTTTCGAATCAGCTGACAGTTCCAGTTGAGTGCCAATGACCGGGCACTTAGTGCAGCAAGGATTAGCTAACGGCTTACAATCATTCATACCAGCCATTTGCAGTATTGATTGAGCATATTGAGTTTGAGACAACATGTATGAGTTTGTTGTTGTAGTAATATTTATGCCCAAAAAAATGTTAACCAAACCGAGCTCTTTCATAGCAAATTTTTTATGTAGCTGAGAAGTAACTGTAGCAATAAGAGAGGGGTTGTTTCCAGTTAAAAGAATATCATCTACATAGATGATCAAATAGATTTGACTGGTATCATTTTGAAGAATGAATAAAGACGAGTCCGCTTTGCCCGATGTGAAACCAAGAGAAGAAAGAAAATCTGAAAAAGTTTGAAACCATTGACGAGGAGCCTGTTTGAGGCCGTAGAGGACTTTCTTGAGTTTGCAAACATGATCGGGATAGAGGTCGTCTTCAAACCCTTTTGGTTGTTTCATGTAGATGGCCTCAGAGATGTTGCCATGTAGGAAAGCGTTCGTTACATCTAGCTGATGCACAGACCAAGCGTTAGTAATCGCAACAGTTAATAAAATACGTATAGTTTGAAACTTAGCCACAGGACTAAAAGTTTCAAGATAGTTTAAACCATATTGTTGGTGATTTCCCTAAGCAACGAGACGCGCTTTGAAACGAGCAATGGTTCCATCAGTTTTGTGTTTGATGCGATACGTCCAGCGACTACCTAGAACAGGAGTCTTGGGAGGTTGAGGAACAAGATCCCAAGTTCCTTATTTTTGCAAGGCATGGAATTCGTCTTCCATGGCGCGTCTCCACTGCACGTGTTTGCTGGCTTCAGCATAAGTGGTAGGTTTTGGACAGTGAGTGAGCTGAGAAGAATCCTGAATGTGAAGTAAGTTGAGCCGTTGGGTGGGCTTAAGTGTGCCAGTTTTAGTGCGGGTAGTCATAGGGTGGCTGGGTTTAGGCAGAACAGAGGGATTGCTGATGTTAGGCAAAATAAAGGGAGCAGGTTCCGTACGAATAGGAGGACGGGTAGAGTCTCCTGAAGTGGATGAAGGAGTGATAGTATTGGTTTGGGCAGAGGTTCTGGGTCTGGTAGCAGAATTGTCCAGATGAAGATTTTGAGTAAATCTGTTAGTAGTAAAGGAGGGCTGTAATGTTTGAGAAGTAGGAACAAGAAGGGAAGGTGGTATATAGGGTGAATTTTGAGAAGAGATGGGAGAAGTTTGTTTAAACGGGAAGGTAAACTCATCAAAGATGACATGTCTAGATATAAAGATTTTGTTTGTGGTAGTATCTAAACACTTATAGCCTTTTGAAATGTGAGAATAGCCAAGAAACACGCAGGTACGAGATTTTGGTTGAAGTTTATTGCATTGGTTTGGTGGTACCCACGGGAAACAGGCACAGCCGAAGACTTTGAAGAATTTGTAATCTAGATCTTTGTGAAATAAAAGAGAAAGATGAGATTTAAAATTCGTAGTGACCGTGGGTAAACGATTGATAATAAAAGATGCAGTCAAAACTGCATCGGGCCAAAAAGAGTGAGGGATAGAAGCGCTGTGAAACAGAGTCCGAGTGGTTTCAAGAAGATGTCTGTGTTTTCGTTTAGCCAACCCGTTCTGTTCAGAGGTATAAGGGCAAGAAGTCTGGTGCAAGATGTGAAGTTCTGCTTCTGCTCCAGGATCGTCCAGGACGATCTGGGATCGTCCTAGGACGATCAGTTGAAGGTTTGCTCCAGAATTTGCCCAGATTGCTCCAGGTGATTTTCCTCCCAGGATCGGCCGGGCCGATAGGGGAATCGTCCCAGGCCGATCAGTTCAGTGCAAAAGACAGAGAGCAAGACTTTTTTAGAATTAATTATCGTCCCGAGGATCGTCCAGGGAATCGGCCGGGACGATGGGTTTTTGGTCTGATCGTCCAGGACGATCCAGGTGATCGGCCGGGCCGATCTGAGCATTACTTAAGGAAATCAGGTCATTTCGA